CGAGCCTGTCGCAGTCCACGATAAGTACCGCTGAACCATCGTCTTTTTCTTAACTCATTTGCCGCGATTCACGGACCGCCTTTTCGGGAAATGTCGAGGACTGGGAGAGCTTCCGGATCGCTTTACTTCTCTCATAATTCAAAATACCGAATTAACTGCATTTTCGCGGATGCATTTCCTAGCTTAAGTCTCACCGGTCGTGCGTTCGACACTATAAAATCTATTCAAATCACCGCGGATAATTTTGATATCGCGTGGAAAACATTAGTTTCACGATTCGACAATAAACGACGGCTCGTCGACGTGCACGTATCAGCGCTATATTCTCTGCCGACGGTCGCTCGCGAATCCGCTGTCGAACTTAACGCACTTCGCGACAAAGCGAATCGCGCTATCGCTTCTTTAAAAAATTTAATCGATCACCCGATCAAATGTTGAGCGATATGTTAGTTTTTAGCGTCACGCAAAAACTTGATCACGCCACTCGGAAAGGTGGAAGTTAAAAAACCGGTGACGACCCGAACATTCCTTCGTATGAAGCTCTCGACCGATTTCTCGACACGCGCATTCGTGCATTGGAAGAATCTCTCCGGCTAATGCTTCCAAATTCTTGCGCGCGCCAAGGTTACCAGTGCTAACGGCCACTGCCGCTGGTTTATCGTGCCCATTATGTCGGGCCGCGCATTTCATCAACAAGTCCGCAATTTTTTGAGGAGGACTCCGAGTCAACGCCTTGAAGTCATTTTAAAAGCGAACGATGCGTCAATTGTTTGAGCGCAAAGCACGCTGTACAAAACGTGTCCAAGTCATACTCATGCAGAATTTGCCAAAGCAAGCATCACTCGATGCTGCACGTTGACTCGGCTTCTCCTCAACTGCATCCGCTGTCTCTCAAAAAAACGAAACCTCGTCGAGTGTGTCATCAGACTCCATCCCGATTACTTCTTCGGCCACGGCATTATGCTCCCAGCTAACAGGCGTCGCGCTCCCGCAAATGTTACTCGCGACGGCCCGCGTCACCGTCGGTGCACCGTCGGGTCGGACCTCACCGTGCGAGCGCTTCTCGATCAAGGCTCGGAGATCACCTTCATCACGGAGCGTCTCGCACAAACTCTCAGAATGCGTCGCATTCGCCAACCGCTCTCGATTTTCCGCCGCCGTCGGCGATGAACGCCGGAACTTGTCAATTCGCCGCTAAGATTCGGATCGCTCCGATCAATCAAGCTGCTCCCGTGTTCACGACAACCGCGTCGATTCTCAGATCTCTCACAAAATATTCGCCTTACAAGGCGAATTCCAACTATGATTGGAGCTATCTAAGCGATCTCAATCTGGCCGATCCGAATCCAACAAGCGCTGACCCGATCGAAATCCTGATCGGAGCAGACTTATATGGCGAATTGCTGCTTAGCGGCGTTCGTAAAGGCGCCCCTGGGCCCAATTGCGCAGCAACCATTTTCGGCTGGGTTTTGTCGGGGCCCATGTCCGAGCTGTCGACGCAATCGCGAGCGATCACCGTTCAGCATTGCGCGAATTCGGAGGCTCTAGATCAGGAGCTCAGACGATTCTGGGAAATCGAAGAAACTCCTCGACAGGCTCTCCCCAGCCCTGAAGAGCAGCAATGTGAGGAGCATTTCACAGCCACGCATTCGCGCGGTGCTGACGGTCGATACACAGTGCGCCTTCCGTTTAAGAACGGTCCGCCGATCGACATCGGCGATTCGCGCCACACGGCTGAACGCTTCCTGCGAGGATTGCATCGTCGCTTCCTTCTACATTCCGACCTTCGTGCGGCCTACGCCGAATTTATGCACGACTACGAATCATTAGACATATGAACGAAGTGAAGAGCGATCAAGTTGCCTCGCAGGAAGTGTATCTCCCTCATCATCCTGTCATTCGCGACAGCAGCGTTACGACAAGATTGCGAGTCGTATTTAACGCGTCGAGTCTGACGACCAATTCAACGTCGTTGAATAATCACTTGCTCACCGGGCCAAAGTTACAAGCGGACTTATCGGCTGTCATTCTGCGCTGGCGACAGTTCCGCTACGTTTATGCTGCCGATATAACAAAATGTATCGCCAAATAGTTATGGACCCGCGTGACATCGATTACCAGCGAATTCTATGGAGCGGCGCTCCTTCAGAACCCGCTCGAGCTTATCAGCTCACTACTGTCACATACGGCACAGCCTGTGCGCCATTTTTAGCGCTACGCGTCATTCGTCAGCTTGCTCAAGATGAGGGTAGTTCTTTCCCACTCGCTGCTATTGTTCTGCAGCAAATACTTATGTCGATGACATTCTCTTCGGGCGGACGACATACCTCTCCTTCGTCAAGTTCGCGAGCAGGTATGCGCGTTGCTTTCGTCGAGGCCGATTCGAGCTGAGAAAATGGGCGAGCAACTCTTCTCAACTCCTCAGCGATATCGCTAGCGCAGATCACGGCCTAGTTTGCGATAAAACGCTTCAAACAGATGACCATCTTAAAATTCTCGGCATCCGGTGGAATCCGTCCTCTGACGCCTTTCAATTTAACGTCACACTTCCGCATTCCGAGCAGACTACCAACGGTCGATCCTGTCAACTATCGCGAGATTGTTCGATCCGTTGGGGTGGAGTACTCCGGTTACCGTTGTCGCGAAGATTTTCCTTCAGAAACTCTGGCTGCTCAAAATCGGATGGGACGACGTGCTTTCCGCTGACATCCTCGATCGCTGGGACTCCATTCGCTCATCTCTCGCCGCTCTGCACGGTCTTCTCAATTGGACCGCTGGATTCAACGCGGTGCAGATTGCGTCAGATGCGACTTACACGGTTTTGCAGACGCATCTTCGCACGCTTACGCTGCCGCCGTGTATATTCGAATAGTTTCGTTATCCGTGAAATAACAGTACGATTGTTAATCGGAAAATCAAAAGTCGCGCCGATAAAAACATTAAGTATTCCACAGCTGGAACTCGCCGCTGCCGTGTTACTCGCGAAACTAATCGATTTTGTCAAATCATCCCTGCATCTCCCTGCATTCTTGTTGCCACTGTTGGACAGATTCCACGGTAGTTCTCGCGTGGGTGGCGCAACATCCATCAAAGTGGAAGACGTTCGTCGCGAATCGCGTCTCTGAAATACAATCTAGACTCCCAAACGCGCAATGGAGACACGTCCCCACTGATCACAACCCCGCGGATTGCGCGTCACGCGGTATACCCGGTGAGAATTTTACCTCTCACACGCTCTGGTGGCGGGACCTGCTGGTTACATTTTTCTGAATCCGAATGGCCGGCGCCATTCGATTCGTCTCTTTCGATGCCCACGATGGAGCGAAAAAAAAAACGCGGCGTCTCATCTCGTGTCGCGACGAAACCATGGGACCTTGCCGCACGGTACTCTTCGTGGCCGCGTTTAATTCGTGTCACCGCCTACATCATGAGATTCATCTCAAAACTTAAAAAGACACTCGGTGCCGCGCGACACATGCGACGAAGGCTCCCGGTCAATTTCCGCGCTCGAATGTAGAAAAGCACGAGACTTTTGGTTGTTGCAAATTCAATCAGAATTATTCGCGCGGGAAAAGGAATCGTTGTTTGCAGCAACGTTCGATTCCAGCAAAAGTGCATTGTTGTCTTTCACGCCATTTCTCGGCGAAGACAAACTAATCCGCGTTGGCGGGCGGCTGTCGCGTGCCCCCATGCGGTTCTCCGAAAAACATCCTATAATCTTAGCTGCACATCCTCTTGTGAACCTCCTCGCAGCACGTGCATTTAAGATCTCTTCACGCGGGCCCTCAATTAACTCTAGCTACTCTTCGTCGAGAGTACTGGATATTGCGTGCTCGAAATATCGTCAAAGCTGTCGTTTTCCGCTGCGTAGTATGCACGCGTGAAAAGGCAGCTACTCCCAATCAATTGATGGGAAACTTGCCTTCGGTGCGCGTTTCTCCTCCTGCGCGCGCGTTTATTAATTGTGGTCTCGATTATGCTGGTCCCGTTTTAATCAGATCAATGTCGGGACGCGGTGTCGCTTCCCGCAAAGCCTACATCTCCATCTTCGTCTGTATGGCCACGCGAGCCATACATTTAGAATTAGTCGAGAGTTATTCCACTCCAGCCTTCTTAGGCGCCTTTTTCAAGATTCTGCTCCCGACGTGGCATGCCTGAATCAGTCTACTCTGATAATGGAACCACTTTTGTAGGCGCCGATCGCGAATTGGCCGCATCATTTCGAGCCGCGCTGCGCGATCCAACTTTTCAAAATAGTGCCGCTTCCGACGGGTGTCATGGCACTTTATGCCTCCATCCGCGCCTCACTTCGGCGGACTATGGAGGCCGGGGTTCGCAGTGTCAAGTATCATCTTCGCAGAATCGTCGGTTCACACACTCTTACGTTCGAAGAGTTCACAACGATTCTCTGCAACATTGAGGCCTGCCTAAACTCGCGCCCTATCGCGCCTCTCACTGATTCCGTCGACGATTGCGATTCTCTGACGCCCGGTCATTTCTTGATCGGATCCGCGATTACGATCGCGCCTGAACCCTCTGTACTGCATCTAAATGAGAACCGTTTGACGCGCTGGCAACTTGTTCGCCAGCTCACAGAACGTTCTCTGGAAAATCTGGCAGCAGGACTACATCAATACCTGCAACAACGCGTCAAATGAAGCAAGTTTCGAAAACGGAGTTCGCGTCGGGTCACTGGTCTTGTTACGCAATTCTCTCCTTCCGCCTTGTAAGTGGGACTTAGCTCGCGTCATCCGATGTCACCCGGGTCCAGACGGTTTGATTCGCGTCGCGACGGTGAAAACCGCGACTTCCGAATATACTCGGCCTATTGTCAAATTATGCTTACTTCCGATAGACGTCGAAAGCCTGGACAACCTTACGTAATTAAGGTCGACTCAGATATCGCTTTAAACTCATTCTGTCAAACGACATACCGATCGCTTCACCAGTCGCCCCTCTTTTTTTTGTTGTTCAAGTCATTTCGAAACGATGGTTTCGAGGCGGGCGGTATTTTTAGACACGACTACAAATAATAATTAGAAGGCTATCGATCAGCTCGTTAAACCTTCAAATTTGAAAACACCAAGGAGCTTATTCAATGTTTTCGCTCCTCGGTTCGCGTCACCGATGTTTGCGTCCATTTAGACACGTGTCATCCGGCTGATGCGTGATTTGGTTCCCCTTCTCAGTCGGGAAAATCGGGAAGTTTCGCCGTACGTGGCGATTCTCGCATTATTCTGTAAGGAGCTGTTGAGCGAGAACATGCTCTCAGTAATATAATATTTTTCAAAAGTTAAACGATTCAAAGTTACTCTCCGCCTTCATATCTCCACGCCACTGCTCCCTTGGTTCCTACTACCCTCGCGTTCTTTCGGAGCGGTCCCGGCTATTCATTAAAGTTCACATTAAATCGATAAAAAAAAAAAAGGAAGAAGAAACCTTCGAAGTGTGAACATACAAGGAGTAATTTATAATCTTATTAATAGGGCATTGTTATTATCTCATCCCATATATCATAAGAAAAATTTAGAATTGTGTATTAAAATATTATTGGACAACGGTTACCCTATTCATTTAATCTTTAAAGAAATAAATAAGAAATAAGAGTTTTAAACAATGGTCAGTTTAACAACAATAGAAAAAAAAAATTGCAGAAGATAATAGCAAGAAAAAATTTTTCGTTATTCCATACATTAATAACATTTCTGAGACAATAGCATCGACAATAAAAAAATCAGATTTCAGAGTAGGATACCGTTGTCTAAATAATCTTAACAAATTAATTAAAGTCCACAAGGACAAAAACGTGCATAACAATAATAATAATGTTGTCTACAAAATTAATTGTAAGGATTGTGAAGCTTCGTATGTTGGGCAAACCAAAAGAAAATTACGCACTAGACTAAAAGAGCATATGAATAATATTAAATTTGATTCCTCCAAGCATTCTGTGGTCTCTGAACATATTATGAATAAAAAACATGCTTTTGATTGGGATAACGTTAAAATACTTGATATTGAATCTAATTATTATAAAAGACTTATCTCGGAAATGATACACATCAAGGAACAAGGCATGGTATAAATAATAACACAGACACCGAATTGCTTAACACGCGTATTTCGACATTCTAGAAGAAATATCGAATTTTTAGACTTATGTAAATGTTTATTTTGAGATCTGACACCTATTTATTCGACTTTTTAAAAGACTAGACAACAGTCAAGTACTAACAATAAGACCAACAACAATTAGAAGCATCGTCATCTCAAGTTATTCGGAACAATTTGTAAGCATAAAGGTTCAATATTTTAGTAGTTAGTTTAATTTATAATTTTTAATCTTTTTTTCACATACACATTAGTGGAATCCTATTTTACAATTGAATAAATTCTTTAAATTCAGTTAACAAATATCAAATAATTTGGAGAGGATGAACATAATCATTGCCAGATCGAGGGACTTTCGTCAAATAACGATAAGTGGTTCATTTGGAGTAATGTATAAGTGTCACTCCAAGTTTTTATTAATAATTCTAATATATTTTATGAATAACCGGACGAATCATTCTGCTTCTAATTGGGTTCTTACTTTGTTGAACTATTTTAATGGTCTCAATTCATTGTAAATATATTTTGCGTTTTAACTATGACTCAACTATATAACTTATATTGACTATGTATTGCGGATTTTTTTATTAGAATTTTATGTATTTATTTATTATCGTTATTTATTATCACTATTTTTTGCGCACTGAAGAGGAGCAAGTAGAGCTCGAAACGTTTGTATAATTATTATTTCAAATTAAGAATTTTCTTCTCAATAATAAATAATATC